CAATAACCTACGTTGCAATGTGGGATTTGCCAGCCATTTGTTATTAAAGGAAGGAGCAGCAGAGACTATTATGTATGGGACCTTTGTCAGTAACTGTTACAGTTCATAAGAACCCATTTTATCTTCCTCGGATCATGTTGAAACCGCGATGCATGCTTCTTCCTTAACTGATTTAAATGTGTTTTGTGCTTGCGATCTTCTGATGTTTGTTGCTATGGCCACCCTCAGTTGTTCCTCACACGCGGGACAAGGTCAATTTTCAAAATAGTTCAACTTTTGCCTGTGTGAATAAATATTGAATATGTGTCGTTGTTATTACTTGGGGTTAGGGTTAAGAATAGTGTTTAACTGCATTGCTTTGTTGCATTTCTGCATTGGTATCACACATATACTCTGCACTTCATAAGCAGTATGCAGGGCATTTCTCTCTGTCTCGTGCTAAATGCAGTTGACCAATCACAAAAGACTGAGTCATAGGACCAATCAGTGCAGATTAGCCTCGCAAAGACACGAGTGCTACGTTTTTAAGATGCCAAGTTAAGATAAACCACGAAGGTGGTGCAAGCATTGCAAGCTTCTGTTAAAAGTACAACATTGTGGTTTTTGAAAATCATTCCTGAGTGCAGCATCTCTTGTCTTTAGATGCAAAGACACATTGTGTAAATTTGTGTATTTATCGGACTACATTAACCAAACAATGATGAATGCATACCTTTACACCCCTAAAGTTAACTATTCCACCAACTACAAGGACACAAGGAGCAGCTTGACAGCACAGGGAGATATATAGCAGCCTGAGGTGAAAGTTCAACAACGTACGTGCTATTGAGAGATTAAAAATGCTTTCTATCCTTCAGCTTTAAAGCCTGAGAAGCATCCGTCTCTCTTCATTTAAAAGAAAGGTAGATGATTTGCATGTATGGTGCACTGACATCGAGCTGCCTACTTCAATATATTATAATGCGCTGCTTGCCCTTAATGGAGAATCAATGACAGGACAAGCCCGTCACCTTCGAGTCGACGCAAACACAATTTACACATTGACATGTGGAGGGTGTGTGTGATTGATTCCGACTGCTTGAGGGTTTTAATATTGTTTTCCGTGTGCTCATTGACTCTCACTCACCGTCTTCCACATTATCCATTAAAGCTCACCGTCTGGCAAAGGCTTAATCTTACTCTTTACGCTCCTCCCTTTGAGACTTCAAAATGCTCCCTCTGTCTTGCCATTACTTTTTTTTCCTGACCGCACACACACACTGGAAACGTCTAGACATGCTTGCTGAGATGTAGTTAACCGGAACTATTGGATTGGAAACGTTTCAATGGTTGAGCAAGTGCTTTGCACCTGTAAATACTTCATGAAGCTCGATCAATTCATGGAACGGAAACAATCAATATTAGGAAGGTTGTGTTCCCTTTACTTTGACTAATAGCAGTTTTACAGCACTACTAATTTTACTAATAACTATCACAACTATTCTAATAATTAAGAGAAATCCATCTCAAACATAAACAGCAGACATGAGGCTGACTTGCATGAAGAAACAGAATTAAGAATGAGCTTCTGTCATGGAGGTCAGTGCATTGACTAAACTGCCACTGTGATATAAAGATCAGGATTCAGTTGTTCTTAAGGACATCACATTTTCTCCAATACTAGGTTGACTGTCAGAGCAAAGTCAGCTTAAGGGCACTCATGCACAACAGAAAGAGAGTATTCAACAGAAATGCACAAAATGTCTTGACAATCTGAAATCAAACAGGGATCTTTAATAGAGTTAAGGTTATAGCACACTAAATCCAAAATTTTAGTCTGCATTTTCGCACGTTAAAAAATAAATTTAACCTCATGTTGTGTCAGTGGTATAGACACAATGTTTTTTAAAAATTTCATCCATCCATCAAAAAAAAAAAAAAAATTCAATAGGGTTTAATTTTTTCCATTTTTCGCGTTCAAAAAAGCTCTTGAAGAGGTGTTTTGACAGTTCAGAGCCACTGTACAAGTGAAAAGCTAAATACAGAATTCCATCATTTGAGCTACAGATAATTTTATGACAAACACAATGCATAAAATAAAGGCTGGATTCAGTGACTGGCGCACATCTGCCCTGTTGCTATTTGGTGAGTGTGTGTGTCCATACATTTGAGGTAGCCTACTGCATACATCATAATAAAAAGCATGGTCAGCTTCCGTTGTGTTGCTTTAACAAGTCAATGTGGCCACCATCTATTATAATGTCTATAGGTACTGCCAGTCTCTGTTCAGGATTTGTTTATTTATGTGAATGCATAATATATCACAAGCAATGAATCAAATTCCACTGATTTCCTGAAATAAACTTTGCATTTCGGGATAATCGTAGTGCAGCTCTTTGATAATGAGCTAAACTCTCCTTCTAGTACTGGATGAACACAATATGCAGCATAATCCTCTTTCTTTTTGTACTTTAGAGAAGAGATTAGAACAAAGATTCACTGCTTAAATTGACTCCGAAATGTTTTGTTTTTTCGTAATACTGTAGAATAGTTATTACGCATTGGACTCAGTGTCTAAGGTTTGTTTACATGATGAATTTTTTTGCATATGACTACAAAAAAAAAATGCAAAAATTTTGGACTTCAGTGTGCAAAGACCTTAAGCCTGAAAATAAGAGTTATTCCAACAAATGTTAATTTCTTAACTTTAAAAATATTGGTATTTTTTTGTCTAAGAAACTAGTAGAAATATTTTTGAAAATATTGTTTGGCATTTTATGCAGAGATTGAATTTTTAATCTGAAAGAAAAGTTGCTAGTTTACATAGTAAACAAAAATCATACTTTACTCAAACACAAATGTAAATTTTATACACAGAAAAAAGAGGATTCAATGACCCGTTTCCACTGAGTGGTACAGTATGGTACGATTTGGTTTGGTACAGGTCACCTTTATCAGGTTTGTTTCTCCGCCATTGGTTACCAATAATACCCAGAACTTACATTTAGGTCGTTTTTGGGTTCATAAACGGTATAAAACAAATACAGTTAGCACAAACCTCTCAATTTTATTCTTTAGCAGCGCATCTAATGTTAACATCTTGTTAAAAAATAATCCTGTCATTCCGAGTTTATAATAGTCAAAAAGACGATGATAATAATTAAATATTGGCATTTGTTCATCTTTAATAGTATGCTACGGTTCGGTAGACTTTTATGGATGATTCCTCTGTCAAAAGGTATGAAAAAAAGAGAACAACAGGGTATCAAAAGGTGAAGCAAGATGTGCAGCTGAACGGTATTAGTTTACAGAGATACGTCATTCGCTCGTGCACAAGCCAGGAGAATGAAAACAAAGTAAGCGCCATTTTTGAATACACAGCCGAGACATTACACCGTAATAATATAAACATATAATAACATGCCATGGTCGGCCCGAGCTTAAACGAACTTTATCATCGTCTTGATAAACAGCCACGAAGCCAAGAAGAAGAGCAGAATCTACCCTGTGCCCCGTAGTTGTTTATAAGGCCATCTGAAGCGCAAGCTGTTTTTCTTTTTCACAAAAGTGAAGCGCGTAAATACAAAGGAGCAAATGATTCTTTCAGCAACCTAAAACATGAACAAACTTTTTATTTACTTTTTTATTTCTATTATGAACTCAGAATGACAGAATTACTTTCTAACAGAGGTTACATGTGCGCTGGTGAAGAGTAGAGATAAAGATGAGAGGTTTCTATGTTATATATAGGGTTTTAGGGTTGCATTTTGTTTTTGAACCAAAATAAGGACTAAATGTATGCTGTGTGTAGTTTCTGTAATTGGTAATATATCAGAGACTGTAAGGGTCTGTATGCGTTCATACATGTTGCATTTATTTATTTATTTCATATAATCTCAAACGTTACAATAGGCTATTTCGCAGTATCATTGATCAGCAGTTATAATCAATTATGTACATAGAAAGGTTAGTAATGAACATTTATACACAAGTATTTATGTGTATAAAGTATCTGTTTTGTGAGAAGTGCTTCTCATATGATGTGTAAACGACCCGTGCAGCTTTACTGTAGACATTTCCTCAAGCGAGAATGATGTAGACTAAAACTTTATCATACAAAGTGCCCACCAAAAGGGTACCATTAGAAACCCGTATCGTACCGTACTGTACCAGTCAGTGGAAACGGGCCATTAGGTTGCTGAAAGAATCATTTGCTCCTTTGTCCGTTTCTGAAAGGATCAGATGTCAGAAGCACTTCAATAATTACGCACACATTATTATCATCAGCTTAAGAAATTTGTTATTTTGGAAAAGGTACCCTAAAGAACATACCGTACAGTTCGCTTTTTGGTATCATTTAACAGTGAAAATGGGCATAAGAGTGTACCGATCCGTACGGTACCACTCAGTGGAAACGGGCTACATGTGGTCTCTTAAAATACACAAACATTCAAAACCATTTTCCCATATGTGAAGAGTAGAAACCAGTGGCAGCAAAGTTTAAAAACAATGGACTAGATGCTACACTGAATAGTTATTGGATGCTTCCAACACAACCCACCCCTAAATCACTGCAAAAAGCTAGTCTCAGTCAAATCAAATGTCTACTGCTAAAATCCTTGGAAACATGCAAAAAAATATTTTTAAAAACTCTCAAACCATATGGGTAGTGGCATAAATATGCACTGGCACACATATGCCTGCTTGTGACCCCGAGGTGTGTGAGCAAATGTGCATGTGAATATTCAAATGCACAGTAGCGGAGATAAGACTAGAGGGAAGAAATCCACACAGGGCCGATTAGGCATGGCACACACTCTAATATTATCCCCAGCATTAATGGATTGTGTGTGCGAGTGAGTTGTAAGAAGCAGAACAAAGCTGATGCACAATAGCCCCACTTATAGGTTAATCTCCCGTAAAAGTGCACACAACATTAATGTCATTCAGTCGCGAAGACCGGGTAAAATGATTAATTGAGCCAGATAACTTGCATGATCAGCAAAACCACAGATACTCACCTTCCCAAAGTCCCTCACGTCAAAGAGATCGAAGGGATCAAACAGCTCGCTGTTCCGTAAGCCAAACTTATCATGGCACACTTTCAGGAATGTTCGTATGTTCTTCAGACACAGAAACTGGAAAAGAGGGAAACGAATAAAGAAGGTCAGATCATTTGGTTAAGACTTTGATTTCAATGTGACAGTAAAAGAAGGAATAGACTCAAACGAACAATAGCTGCAATCCTATGGGAGCATTTTCCATATTTAACAGCATCATTTCAGAGCTAGAGAGAACTCTGACACCATCTCATTTCTGCAGCGCATGGAGCATATTTAATTTCCTGGAGCCTATCGACAGTCAGCTCATTTCCTTCTTCCTTTACCAGTGATTAGGCAAACAGTTATCGCACACTATGATTTGGATCCGTAGGCCCAGGCTTGCCTTAGATAAGCCAACAAGCCTTTGACGGATCACCTCTGGCATGATCTAGCCCAGTTGCTGTTCACTTACCAGCCTCTAAACCCAACATCTCTTCTATCCTTAGGGTCGCTTAACCTGACTGGATACTCCCCTCACTGCACATTCATTATCATAAGCAACAATGATGCCAGTATGAAACAGCGCTGGCTCTTGCTCCTTATTTGTTTCAGGGAATTCATGCATAAATGTTCCTTGTAATGAGAATTTGTCTAATATAATTGACTCGAGCTGGGAGAAACCAATACAACCACACAAACAGGAACAAAACAATAACAACTTCGTCATTGTTTACTTCCACCCACCAAATGTCAATGAATCATGTCTCATGTTTAATGCATGCCAATATAATTCATTTATGTGCATGGTTTCGCATTTCTATGGGGACAGCGGTGCAAACACTCACAACAGCACACTTAAGGTGAATAGAGCGTTCCATACTCGTAATGATACAGGAACCAGAGATATTATAAGCATGCCACCATTATTCTGCAGGAATCACAACCCCTATTGTGATAGCAGCACTAGTAGCTCTGTTTCTAATGTAAAGTGGGACAATGGAGGCCTATTTGTCACATTAAAGACAGTACAATGGAGATAACCGCCCTTAGAACACAAGCCGGATTAAATTCTCATAATCATGATGCCACTTGTAAAACTAGCCCTTAATGAGAGCAGTAAGACAACTCCAAGCGTGTCAGGATCAGCATTATGCTGAAACACAAGAGTGTAGCTATGCCTTATATGTGAAACACCAGTTCATTCATTAGACCTTATAAAGATGGCTAAGTCTGCCTGAAAGCATGCAATGATACAAGATCATTGTAGTTATGACAATTTAAATCTCCTAGTCCCCACACTGAATCAACAGTCAGAGCCAGACAGACAGGGAGCGCGTGAGAGAGATCATGTCTGTGCATATTAACGGCACGGTCATATCTAATAGCTCAGATAACATGTAGCTACCTCTTAGCAAATATTTTGTAGCCTATTTGTGAATTAACTCCCTGATGAACCATACAGTGATGTCCTCAAGATTACAAAGAGGAATGAAGACTCTGGCAAGTGTCACTGAATTACTACTAAAGATTGAGGTTTGCTCATTTGTTTCAAACTGTGATCAAAACTGACTGGAACCACTTGTGTATTAAACTATTTCATACAACAGTTCTGTCTGGTTCTCGAATCAGAGTGGCTGATAGCTGTGCGATATTCTCATAATACCAGAACTCGTACAGTCTCCTTACCTTTCTGTATTACTCTGCCCACATAGAGTGACAGCAAATCTCAATACAGTTTGACAAATACTGCTGTTGTTAGACAACATAATGCACTTTTGAGGCTTTTTTAGGCAGAGGATGTACTTGTTTAGATTGAAACTATGCAGTTTATTAATAAGGGCAGTGGCTATTTTAAATATTTATAATTTGGAGATACCATCAGCCTGTCATACTGAGCAGAGCAAAGATGGTTGACGTTGTCCATCCACAAGATGGCGACATATACCTCATAATAAACCCTTTAGAAGACAAAATCTGTAATTTCAAACTACAGCTGATCAAATCATTATAAAAGTGGTAAGCGACACTCCAAGTCAATCTGTCTATTTTATATGTTTTAGTGCTGTATTCATACCATAATAATTGTAGTTTATTAAGTGTGAGATGGAACTCACATGTCAGGAATGTATGAATTTTGTTTTGGTCACTCTTTGTATAACCCGAGTCACTTTTTGGCTGGTCAGCTGTTTGTTTCTAATGAGTCTCCTGTTTACGTTTCTTACTTTAGAAGAAACGACAGCATTTGTTTAGTGTTTTTCCTCATACAAAAAGGTTTTTAAACTCTCCATGTTTTAATTTCTTTTTTATATACACAATTATGCCATCAAACAGTTGTATAAACGCAATATCACACTCTACTAGCAGTGATATATGGCTGTATATTGTCACTGGTGGGACACTAAGGCACCAATGCGGATATAAACCCATATTGCACTGCTATGAGTGTGATTCTGCTCATTTATTGCACACCTTTCAGCCAATCAGAATCAGGAATTTCAACACACCATGAAATAAAGCAATTTAACAAACACGCTTAGTGTGACAATCTCATTTTTTTCTTTTACCAAGTAAACAAAAGTAAAATTATTCAAATGTATTTAGGTTTTAATTGTATAAATTAAAAAAAAATCAATTACTTGTTGAGATATACAAGTTATATTATAATGCATTCAACTTTGGTGACGCAGTGGCGCAGTAGGTAGTGCTGTCGCCTCACAGCAAGAAGGTCGCTGTTTCACACCTCGGCTGAGTCAGCTGGCATTTCTGTGTTGAGCTTGCATGTTCTCTCCACATTCACGTAAGTTTCCTGCGGGTGCTCTGGTTTTTCCCATGAGTCCAAAGAGATGCGGTATAGGTGAATTGGGTAAGCTAAAATTTTCCGTAGTGTATGTGTGCGAATGAGAGTGTGTGGATGCTTCCCAGTGATGGGTTGCAGCTAGAAGGTCATCCGCTGCATAAAACTGGATAAGTTGGCGGTTCATCCCGCGGTGGTGACCCCAGATTAATAAAAGAACTAAGCCAAAAAGAAAATAAATGAAAGAATGCATTCAACTTTTATAATTAATTTTTGACAAAACAGAAAAAACAACAGCACAGGGTACAGGCTCCTTAGTAAGCGCTACTAAAATAGCACACCCAACAAAAACGTGGGTAATTTATTTTGTACTCCCAAGTGATACTAAATATGCCCCCAAGAAGAAATCAAAACTAGATATTCTGGTGTGCAGTATCTTGCTTTTGGAGCAAATCTCTGAAAAGAAATGCTTCAGTAATTTCTCTCTTTCCACCTTTTTTATTTATATTCGCTTTTCTAAATTCGCTAACCATTAAAAACAGACTTTGGCTTTTAAATTACACTAGTCTGCATTTTCCTCTATTCATCTACAGCCAGCTCAGATGAATGGGCTGCTGTTTCTTCATGCTAATCACACCTCCTCTTAATCTTTTGACAGCTTACAAGAAGCGCAAAGGTATTCCTATTGGCAGTGCAGAGTCATAGTGGGAGTTTGAGCAAACCTAATGCTTAGAGTGCATGTCTCAACCCCAGGCTATGTTTATGTGACTGTGGCTTTCTTTGCATTAAGATTCTAGTGATGACTACATGGAAAGATCAGAGCAACACCTGTCTCGTTCAGCACAAGCACTCAAATTCTGCCTTTTTTAATAAAAACCAAACAGCAGTCGGAAAGACAGCTATGAGGAGAGGCAGACATGGATAAACAGCTAGAGGAAGAAGCCAGGTTACAAAGCTGTCTTTCCCGTACTCCCTCATCCCCCAGGAACATCTACGCACACAGGGAATAATGAATTACCCTCTCCGCCAGAGGTGCACCGCCCTTGCAGGATGTGCCTTCCAAACCACGACAGCATCCACTAATAAACAAAATCAACAAGAATTAAAGCCTCCAAAGAAGAGAAGTGAAGGGTGAGCTGAAAATAAATCCAGATAAAAGAAAGACAAGTTTAAAAGAAGCAACGGAGTCCTAGGGGAAGGCTGTTGTGTCTAATAAGCAGGAAAAAGAAAGTGAGAACGGGGCAAGGGAGTATCGCTCCCTATAGACACACGAGGGGCACAGATCAATCCAACCAATGATTCGCTTCGAAAACATGAGTGAATAAGTCAAAGAGTCAAACAATCTGTCAAGCAGTCAGATGCTTCAAGCCTTGAAGCAGCGACTCAAAAGACAGTCAGTCAGGATGAAGACAGGCACAGAAGCAGACAGCGAGTCAGCGGGTGAAGTAAGGAGTCTAGACTGTGGCGAGACGTAGTCAGCCATCAGAGAATCCCTGTTATCTATGGCATAAATACAGAAAAAAGCATCAAAGACAGAAAAGGGCTAGTAGTCAAAATAACAAACCACATAAGCGGACGGACGTTTTCAACAGATGGCACTCAGCACTGGATTGATCAATAGATTAGGGGGTGAAATCCAAGGGGCACGGTTTGGACATATAGCGCTAAAAATATTTTGGCAATGGGCCTATACCGACCTGAGTGGGGCTTTGAGGGGGCACCGCCCTCACTGAAAGTCATGGCAGTGGCATTTTGTCAGCACATTCTGATCCTTTGTCACATTCACAGAGAGAAAACTCCCACTGGAGCATGATGCCCAGGACAGGTCAAAATAAGAGCAAGAAAAAGTGAGAAAGAATGAAAGGTAAAAATAGTAAACCGGCACAAAACAAGCTGAGGAGGCTGAGGCTGATTAGCTCGAATCTCCCGCAGGATTTCCAGGGTCGCACAGATGTTAAAACCTCTCTGGAGAAAACCTGGCTTCAACTAATTGGAGAGGCAGATACTGAATGAATAATGTATGCTGGTATGCAAATGCTAATCTGATAGGATTATCCAAAAGGCCCAATTTATCACAGAAACCCCTCTAAGTCATGATTGAATCAAATAAAGTGTACCTCATAGGAAGTCCATCTGCCTGTGGAAAAAACAAATAACTACACTCAGAAGACTGCAGAGTTGTCTTCACAACAGAATGTTTTCTATATGGACGTATAAAACAAATCTATTTAAATGTGTGATAAAGGTAAAATAAATTTAAGACTAAACAGCCACTCCAAAAAGCAAGAACCAGACAAATGACCACTGAGAGGCACCTGAAAAG